TTTTATTAAAAAAAAAAAAAAAGAGTGTTTGAAAGACTTTATTTGAAAGGGCTCTTGATTTCATACAAAATGTGCATTGGATGAAAATACTCCTACTATCGTTATAAAATGTCTTTAATATCATGATATTTTAATATGCATTACCATGATTGTAGAATACATTTCCTTTTTGTTTTTGTTTTCTCTACCATCCTTTCTTCTATTATTGTTGTTGTTGTTATGTTATTAATATATATATTGCAAATGCAAAACTATACACAAATATTTTTCTGTTTTTGTTATATAAGTCATTATGAGAACAAAAATGGTCATGCCATTTGATTGTAAACTTTGTAGCATTTGCCAAAATATTATTTGATGACATAATTCTTATTTTTAATATTTTAAAATCAAAATTTTTATTTTTAAACTAGTACGAATCCCGTGCGATGCACGGGTAAAAGATATTTATTAATATTTATAAGTTAAAAATTCCCAATAAATATTATTTATAAATAAAAAATATGGAATCAATATGTAATAAAATTTATCTATATATTTAATTTTGTAAAAATGTTATATAAAATTTAAATTGAGCAAAATTACATAAAAATGTCTATTTAAAATTAGTAAACAACCAGTGCAGTGCACATAACTGATAATAAATTACATTATATTCGTTTCTAAATAAATGTCATTTCAAAATTTTTATTCAAAAATTCGATTTAATTATAATGTGATTCCATAAAATAATTATTTTTGTAAACTTTTATCATTTATTTAAAAAACTTATGTGAATAATAAATATAAATATAAAACTTATATTGTTTCATTATAAAATGAATTTATCTTTTATATACTATCTAAATCAAAAAAATTAAGTAGTTGAGTAATTTATTAAATCATAAATAATTGACTATTCCATTTATGTCCAAGTTAATATTGTCCCGTAAGTTATGAATAATTGTTTATTTGATTTTTAATTTTGAATAAAAATATTTTTTATTTTTTTTTATGTTTTTTATGTCAATATATTATATACGAAATTTAAACCTCGCAACTAATAAAGGTAATAGCCACAAGTTTTGTCAATATATTATATACTAAATTTAACTATGCAACTAATAAAGGTAATAACCGCAATATTTGACAAAAATGATTTTGTAGCCCAGACCGCGCCCCAGCGCGCCAGCGTGACCCGGTCCCGTGCCAGACCGCCTGACAGCAGCCCAACCGAGCTGGCCCGAGCCCGAACCCGGTCCTTTGACCTTGTTTGAACTGTTTTTCGATTTTTCCGAACCTCTTAACTTCCATTGACCTGTTTGACCATGTTTGACCTCGTTTTTCGTGTCGAGTCTTTTAAAGTTTTAAAAATTAAATTCCGTGTCTAGCTTTCAAAACCTAGTGTTCCAACTTCCACAGAACTTCACGAACAGCTTAGTCAAAAATGTTCGGCTAAGTATGATTATTCGTGATGTCATTCTAAGGGTCAAGATAAGATACTTATGAAGTATTCTTGACTAAATGTAGGTGTTTGACGAGTTGACCTCGCAGCCTACACAGCAGAGCGGTGGTATTCCATTCAGTTGAACCAAGTGGGTTCGTTATTCTAAAATTCGCTATGTTGTAAATGTTATAAATATATATTTGTGGTATGATCAATGTATGCATGTGAACCATGTAGCCCTCGATGTGAGCTGTACCGGCCGTCGAACGGTTATCCCCGTAGCTATAGAACGTACCCGTAGGTTAGTCTCCTTTTGAGAGCCGTAAGACCAGGGCTTAGGTCCCTCGGCTGGTGATCCTCGTTGGTAAGACCAAGGCGAGGCCTTGGCCAGCGGGGTGGTTTACTCCTACTGGCTTGGAGATCGATGTGAGGACAAGGGCCATTCGATAATTTACCGGCAGTAGTCTATGCGTAGGTGTGCACATGAGTCTTGATTTATGATTTATGATGGGAGATTGGGATAATTAATTGATTTGTATACATGCTGCGACCATACCTGACTTATTTATGGTTACTGCTTTTATATATTGATTAATGTTTACTGCATAGTGTGAGTACTACGGTTTCCATTTGTGCTCACTCCCACCTGAAATTAACGTTTCAGGTTAAGTAAGGCGGGCACGACGGCGAAGTATAGCGAGTGGTAGTCGGTCTATGAGACCGGTTTATTATTAGTTATGCTTCCGCATTATGAACTGATTTTATTATTTATGAACTTGGGATATTTATGCATTATGATTTATGGATATTATGGTTGAAATAATGATAAGGAGATGCTCCTTAGATACTATGATGAATGGTGGAACCCGGTTTGGGTGATTAATGAAATTATGGGAGTTGAATTTATGTTGACTGTTGATGTATGATTTTGAAAATGAGTAACACCATAAATACTTTTGAAATAAGTTTCGAAAATTTTATCTGATTTTTCTGAAAGTCCGAAATTTCTTTAAAATCAAAGTGGGGCGTTACAAAGATTCTCGAATGGTCAGGTTGAAACTCAACGTAAAGAGATAACCGGTTGTAGAATCAACCAGATGAGGAGGACATATGAGTGAAGGAGTTAAACAGAGAAAATGTAATGTTCATATGAAAGTGACTCATTTACGTGGTCATCATGCTTTTGGATTGAAGGTATTATGTATTTGCTCATTTTGATCCTACTCTAAAACGAAAGGAATTAACATTAAAAACTCAAGGGAACACCGTTCGAATACATACGCGACCAACAGCCGAAAAAAGGAAACATGAGAGGACACGCTTAAAAGCGGCCTAAAGGGATCCCACATACGGGATATACAATCAAACTACAATAAAATTTTGCCAAATCAACCACTGCATAAGCCTAGTTAATATGACAAAACCTCCTAAAAACACAGCAGTACATAAGCAAAATAACACAACTACAGAAAAAGAAAGCTAACAGAACAAAGCACAGCAACAAATCTGGGGTCTTTAGGTAGCATTAAGCCCTGGCTGCTCTAAACTCAATCCGGTCTTTTTGAGCTGCCATCACAGCAATTCTGGCAGGGAGCTGTTTGCTTTCAAAGAGCCATAGGTTTCGTGACTTCCATAGCCACCATAACAAGTAAGTAGTGAGTTGGATGCGATCCTACTCTAAGGTGCACACTTCTGTCTTATATAAAAAAAAAAATGACAAAGTATGCCCTCCACTCATCATCTTTCTCTACATTATTATGCTTAAGCAAAAATGTCTTTAGATAATGATGCCACATATAAAAATATGATCACAAATATTGAAATGTTTTGCAAATGAAAACCTTCGAGATTTAGTTAATAATCACAATGTATCACACCAGAGGAGCCAGAAACTGCTCGACCTTTTGTAGGTTCATTCAATTACTTAAAGTTGCCCTTATGATGACAACATTGACAACTGACATCTAACAACTCAATAATAAAACATTCAAGCAAATAGAAAGCAAGGTTGCATCATTTTCAATCAATTGGTTGGGTTGGGGTCGGTGTGGCCAAGATACTGAAAAAAAATTGACATGCCTCACTATTAAAACAAATTCCAGCATATACCTTTTTCATTATTTCAATTACAATAAATATAACTTTATCAAAATCTGATAATTTTTAACATAATAGAACATATAAACTCTGAAAGGAAAAAGCAATGTTTTGGTAAAAATACATACAATTAGGATGTTGAAACCAAACATGCATTATACAGTACATAAATTAGGGAATGGGGTTGCTTAAACAGCGTAACACTGAAATAGGTTCTTAAAAGATCAATGTGATACCTTTCATGCAACAAAGGCTTTCAGGATTATTGAGACAAGCTGAAAAACTCCAGATACAGACCTTTGACGCCTTTTCCTTTTTGAAAATCAAAGGTTTAGTTGGACGAGCTGGCATCCAATATGGAAGAATTGATGAAGCATCACGATCAAGAGAGGACACCTTTAGAGCTACATGCAGAGGATACAACACGTTGAGTAGCATAAGAAACACATTTTGTAGATAAACTTGCAATATTTAGTCAAACCCTTCTTTAGGTCTCCTAGAAGATGACCTTTTTCAACAAGAGGAGCTAAATACAAATCCCCATCCTCAAATAAATAAAAATAAATGAAGTATGAACCTTGGCACACTTCCTCCACGGCGAGGATCGTACTCCGTTGCTTGCCGAAGGGCCCTTGCAAAGGCCTTGAACGTTGCCTCAATGATGTGGTGAGAATTCCTCCCAGCAAGCTATTCTCGATTATCAGAGTCCAGCCATTCAGAAAATATAGATTAGATAAACACACGCTATTAACAACAGTGAAGGTAATTTTGCTAATTCGTAGATTTTTAGATAAATGGGCGTTATCGAAGAATTTCTTGCATAAGTTTTGATGGATCAATGGGTCAACAAAAATGCATACATTTTCCTGAAATGTCACTCTTAAGAAAACAATAAAACAACTATTTAGCCCATTATGAAAAGTATGACATTTCAATGTACATGTATACATTTTTGTGAAAAAATATGATGGGATTACCCTCCTAATTATCTTTCAGCTTAATTGATAGCTTTTGCACAGTACATAGGGTAGAGTTAAATTATTTATGCTACTCAGTGTAAAGATTATTACGTGGAAAATATAATGGTGTCTTCCCATAAAAGCAAGGAACAAGCTGGACACGTCATATATACTAGATGGTACTATCCAATGATTAAGGAACAAGTGTCTTTCCATATTTTTTTTCTATGAACTTTTTGTGAAAGAAATATGCTAAAAGGAAACTGTCATCTAATTAAGGTATCAAGATTTTCAAACCGTAGCTACTCTAAAAATGTAAATACAAGACCTTCACAAGAACATAATTCTACCTGCCGAATGTGTAGTGCCATCCCAGAGGTATTGACTAAAGACTGAAAGAAGTGCTCCACCAACTGAAAATGAAAAACATTCATGTGAAGTCAAATCCACACTCAGAGGAATGTAGTTCAGGAGGAAAAACTGAAACTAGAAAAAGAGGATTTTACCTATGCAAGCAAAGTGCAAGGATACACTGCTTAACATAAGGTGAAATGTATCACAATGATAAATTCACATGCCACCTACAAACATTGAGTAATTTAATAACACAGAATACCTGTGTGTCGTATGTTCCAACTCTCTCTGTTGGTATATGCAAATCATAACTCAAATGAGGCCTTCCGGATAAATCCTAAAATCGAAATGCAAAACAAAAATATACATATTTAGAATAAAAACCATTTATTATGATGGGAAAAAGACACTACACCACAACCTTCTGTTTTCGCAAATGCGGTCAAATGCTTCCTATAAATGATAGAACACTAATTTTCGCCTTTGCTTGAAGAATAAATAATGAAAATTTGTGAAGTCGATACTCCCCAGAATAAGTAAATGGTTTGCGCAGCATACCAGTGCAACATGTACAAGTGCTTCACCAAGAGGAGCCGAGAAGTCTCCAAACCTGTTGATTCCTTTCCTATCACCAAGTGCTTGCAGCAAAGACTGCATGAATATAGTTGTTATTGCAGTTGATTTCCAGTCTAACCGCAAAAAA